CGAAGGTTGTTGAGAGTGTGGTGGCACGACAGCTCCCTCAGCACCTGGAAGAAACTGTCTATCTAGACTCGCGCCAGTCCGGCTTCCGGCCTGGGCACAGCACGGAAACGGCATTGGTCGCATTGGTTGATGATCTCTGGAGGGCTCGGGATAGAGGCTGCTCCTCTATCCTGGTCCTGTTAGATCTCTCAGCGGCTTTTGATACCATCAACCATGGTATCTTGTTGCACCGGTTAGAGGGGTTGGGTTTGGGGGGCACCGTCTTACGGTGGTTCTCCTACCTCTCGGACCGGTCGCAATTTGTGTTGGCAGGGGGGCAGAGGTCGACCTCAAGGTGCCTCACTTGTGGGGTACCGCAGGGGTCGGTCCTCTTGCCTCTCCTGTTCAACATCTATATGAAGCCACTGGGTGAGATCATCTGTGGTTTCGGGGTGGAGTTTCATCAGTACGCAGATGACACCCAGTTGTATATCTCCTCCCCGGACCACCCCAACGATGCCGCGGAAGTGATGTTCCGGTGCCTGGAGACCGTGCAAGTCTGGATGGGGAGGAACAGGCTTTGACTCAACCTGTCCAAGACCGAGTGGCTGTGGTTTCCGGCGTCACGACATAGCCAGTTGGCTCCATCCCTGGCTTTCGGGGGCGAGTCATTAGCCCCCGCGGAGAGGGCCCGCAACCTGGGCGTCCTCCTGGATACTCGGCTGTCTTTAGATGACCATATGACAGCCGTGGCCAGGGGGGCTTTTCATCAGGTTCGTCTGATACGCCAGTTGCGCCCCTTTCTGGATCGTGACGCTCTATGCACGGTCACTCAAGCCCTTGTTGTTTCCCGCCTGGACTATTGCAACGCTCTCTACATGGGGCTCCCCTTGAGGTGCACCTGGAGGCTCCAGCTAGTTCAGAATGCGGCCGCGCGGGGGATCCTGGGGGCCTCTAGATACTCCCATGTAACACCTCTCCTGAGCGAGCTGCACTGGCTGCCTGTGGCCTTCCGGGTGTGCTTCAAGGTGTTAGTAACAACCTTTAAAGCGCTCCATGGCAATGGACCTAGGTATTTGCAAGACTGCCTCCAACCAAACACCTCCCTTCGACCAGTCCGCTCCCACAGAGAGGGCCTCCTTAGAGTGCCGTCGGCCAGTCAATGCCGGCTGGCGACCCCCAGGGGAAGAGCCTTCTCTGTGGCAGCTCCTGCCCTCTGGAATGACCTATCCCCCGACCTATGTACAGTTGCGGACCTGCGCCTTTTTTGCCGAGCCCTGAAGGCCCATCTATTCCGTGCGGCCGGCCTGGCGTAGTTTGATTATGTTTTAGTGGGGGTTTTGTATGGGGTATTTTACAGCAGGCCTGTTATTTAATTTGATTTTAGAACAGAAATTTGCGTATATTTATCGTGGTTTTTATTATCGCCTGTTCACCGCCCTGAGTCCCGTAAGGGAGATAGGGCGGTATATAAATTCAATAAATAATAATAATAATAATAATAATAATAATAATAATAATAATAATAATAATCATCATCATCATCATCATCATCATCATCATCATCATCATCATCATCATCATCATCATCATCATCTCCAACTACCAGGAAGTGCAGCAAAAGGATCTGTTCTCTGTGAGGGCTTCTCTCTTAGGAAACAGCCTCCAGCTGAGGTGAGAATGAACATCATTTTCATGGTCTTCTGGAAACTGGTAAAAATCTAGTTCTTCTGGAAGGCCTTTAAGAATTTACTATATGGAGTTATTGTCAGCAATATTCATCTTAATTAAGGGTACTTGGTGTTCTCTGAGTTTGGTTGTTTTTCTGCAGATGTTTCATTACCAGAATAGGTAATCTGAAGAAGTGGAATTTGCTGCTTGTTTGTGTATAGGACAGTGATGGCAAACCTTTTAGAGACCGAGTGCCCAAACTGCAACCCAAAACCCAGTTATGCATCGTCGAGTGCCAGGTGGGTGTGGCCCATTGGGTGGCCGTGGCTGCGGTGGTAACAGCAGACTGGGTGGGACTAAAAAGTTCAATCAATCAATTCCAACTTTGCAAGATTTTTTTTCCCCGCAAGAAGTTGAAATTGACTGATTGATTGAACCTTTTTTTTTGTACACGGCGGCGGAGGCCTAAAGCGAAAAGGTTTTATAAAACTGTTTTATAAAACAGCTGAAGGCCTAGGACTGGGGTGACAGCGCGTGTGCCCACAGAGAGGGCTCTGAGTGCCGCCTCTGGCACCCGTGCCATAGGTTCGCCACCACTGGTATAGGAGCTTGTCCCGTCAATATTGGTTGGAGGTTTTTCTTGATGGTTCCTTGATTTGAGTATTGTTTCTTCCTTGATTATTTCTTTTTTTTTTTTTTTCAATTTTTTTTTTATTATTTTCCATCATAAAAAAAACAATCACAAGCATAATAAACACAATAACAAATAAAAAAACCCCATCCCCCCCCCGGACTTCCCAAACCTAATCCCAGGATAATATTCATATATGAGTAAACAAATACTAATATCCCTAACTCCACAAAATATCTTAATCTACAAAAAAGATAGAAAGAATAAACAAAAATAAAAAAAATCTAAAAACCTAAGTTATATTCTACCACTCTATGCTTCTTTTGAATATAAAC